TTATGGTTTTTTTTCACAGTGAATTGGAAGTCGGAAAAAGCAACCCAGATGAGGACTCCAGATATTATAAAAGTGTGGAAGCAAGAATAGTAAATTAAATGGTAGAAAAATAAAATTAATCTTTTTTTGCTATTTTAAAACTAAGGTAGATTTCTGGTTCATCCATATTCAAACCCTACTTGGAAAAGAAAAATAAAGGATGCCAGAAAGAATTACTGCTATCATCCTACAGCTTCTAAGTCTGGGAAATTAGGTATCTCCCTCAAAGTCACAGGGACAGCCTGAAGACTGTTGGAAAAAGAGAACTCAGACTGGCCCTTCACTGCTACAGCCACAAGCCTCAGTCCTCTTCCAAGAAGGCAGTTCTGAATATTCAAAAATCTAGAAGTTCTCTCTCAACCTATTCAATATTTGCTCTGCTGACAAAATGATGCCAAGCAGTTACCTTTCTATGCCACCAGAAGGAAGGCCATGATTTCATGTGTTGGATTCCTGTTCTGGCCTTTCATCTTATGAGCAGACACCCATTCTGACCAAAATGATCTCATCTTCATTCAGTTAGGATGCAAAGAATAGCAGCATTCCCATATCCAGCTGACATGGTGTTTCAGTCTGTTATTATTAACACCTTTGCTGAAAGGGTCACAGCACCCTTCCTCTCTAATTTGCAGGTCAGGAACATTCCACTTTGACTGTCTCCTGGATTGCTGTATAACTGTAATAATGTCGATCAGACGGCTCTTTTTCACTTCTTACTCAAAATTAGACGGTTAAAAATATGTAGATAGAGTAAAGCAATCTTTAAGGTTTCAGGGTTTATTTTACTGTTTGTAAGGGATGTAAAATTATGGAGATACTATCACAGAATAAAAAAAAATATATTTGTAAATGTTGCAAGACAAACTGCTTGTAACCAATGTTTCCAATTTTTCCTTATACTCATAGCTTCTTAAAAGCTGATTGTTGAAATGCCTCTTTTCCCCGGGCCCTGATGCTTTTTTGATACCCTTATTAAATTCCAAATTAAGAGACCAAGGCCAAAATCTAATCTGAGGTAAAAAGAAACACTTGAAGGTTCCAAGTAAGATGAGGCTGTTACCTTGTTAGAACTACAGAGTAAGTTCTTACGCAGAAATGAACAAGCACGATGTACGAGAAGCATAGCAGGGAGCTGTTGAAGATTGAAGAGCAAATCATGGTTCTCCCTAGGTAATTCTACAAAACTTCCATTTGCCAAGCCCAGCAGTGCCCTCAGAGCCAGCCTCTGCTTGCAAACATGGCTATGAATGCAGGCAGAGACTACTGTCGGCTGCTGACATTTTTGGCGTGGTACACTGGCACTGTAGCTGAATGTCATAGACTTTCACTTCAGAAAGTGGTCAAGAGCTATGAACTGCAGAGTTTACCACTACCATGGCTACTCTTACACTTGCTTATCATCACCTGCAGAAGAAGAAGTACTTTTGATTCAGTACTCACTAGACCAGCCTATTCTTCCTTTGCAAATTACTAGGCCTCCACTCATTTACACCAGGTAATTTGTAGCCTTACGTTTAGTAGTGCAGCTTAACCATGAAAGACTTCTGAACCTTATTTGCCTTTAGGCTACCTATATTGACTAAACTTCAAAACTCCCAACACAGTGTTTGTTCAAGGATACATCTTACAAAACTGGGTATTTGTGCCATGGTCTTCCCGTCCAAAGCATAGTACCCTAATCACTGGTTGAATATTGCATGGACAGTGTGAAGATATAAACACATGCAATTAATTTGAAAGAAGGGAAATTTTCTTCCTTAATCAACATCAGTCAACAAAAAGCAGTCAAGCCAGTTTGAACTTGGTAATGACCATCAACCAGTATAGCAAGAGTTGATAAGGTCTGGTCTGATCCCACTTACCAGAACCTGTGAGGCATGAGTTTCCTGTGTCCTAAAACATCATATCTGGTGACACAGACTGAGGCCACTTCTGAGGGGGAAATTAATGGTCTTTGTGGATACAAGGGAACACAATGCAACTGCATATTCATTTAAAAACTGCAATGCTGTTGAAAATCAAAGCAGTGGGAGTTGAAGCTAGAAAACAAGCTGTTATATCCTTTCATATGCAGAAAAAGTAGTTTTCCACTGAAAATTTCCACTGAAATAACACATTGGAAAAAATTCCATGATTCCTAATCTGAATTCACATTTCAGACTAACCTCCTCAATAGAAAAGTGAAGCATTTCCTTTATCCATAACTTGACTCCAACAACAAAAACTTTGTCTGGAACTGGTTTAGGACAAGTTTGTGAGCACATCTCACAAACAGAATCATTAATCTCCTATAGAAAATAATGTCATAGTACTTAGACTGAGAAAAACTATTTTATTGATGAATTTAAGTTTATATCCATGCTACTTACTGAAGAATGAGGTTTAGACAGTGATCCATTTGATAAAGATACAGTGAGACTACTTAGTGTAGTTGGTATTTTCTGTATATCTAAAGGCATTTTTTAAAATATTTAGAACAGTTAAGAGAGATAAGAGTTAGGTGCCTGTCTCCAGATATCTATCTGAAAATCTCAGTCTTTAAATGGTGGTTTAGGTTTTTGGGGTTTTGGTTTTGGTTTTTTTGAGGGGTTGTTTGGTTTTTTTAATTTATTTTACTTATATAGAATATACCTGCTTGTACTTTTCTGTATCTGTGTACTTATCAATACTGTCAATAGTAGTAAGCTGGTATGATCTTCACTGAAATGAAGTTCTTGTGTGCAAAGATGAGCAATACAAGAAAGCACCAAAGTCTCACTGCTTAAATAAACAAGTGGGGTAGCAAACTGATCCATGTGCAAAACTTTGACTCTACTATAATCAGTGGCAAAACTGCCAGTAACTTCAGAGACAGAATATTTCATTTGTGGACCATGTGATACATCCATGGGCACAGTTGGTCTGTAGAAAAGTTCAGAAATGGAAGAGCTTATCTCCCAGCCTTTAGGTGCAGTCCTTACTCTCCTTAAAACCAATTTCTGTTTAGGACCCTTTCTTCATCAGTCTGTACATGCATTTCCTGTCAGCTTTTGCTAGAGTTCTGGGTATGTCTCAAAGATAAACAGACTGCTTAATTATTAGTTGGTGATGCATGACAGAATTTTGAGGAGAGGACTGTAAATGTCACACAGACAGTAAATATGTTCATATTTTGAAGTTTGGAAGTAGGCATCACTTGCCTTCACTGTAATGAAAATATGTACATATCTTTTTATTGCTAGCAAGCTTACTTTAATGAGATAATTATACAGATCTAAGTCCCTATGAGGGTTAAAGAAGTCTTCAAATAAACCTACACAGTTTTCTGCCCTTACTAGTTACAGTCTAAACATTCTAAGATTTGTCAGAACATTCTGCAGCTTTAACACGGGGTTTTGACAATGCCAGTCTCAGGGAATTATTTCTTTAGTAGCATCTGATATTTCTGAAATACATTCTGTATCTGTGAAAAAGCTCTATGGAACAGATGTTACAGTTTGTATACAACATAGTCTATTACTTTCCTAAGATTTTGAAAAACGCCTGTGTGTGAATTCACATGCATAAATGCATGAACCTTCAAAATGCCAAAAGCCTGTTTTTGAGAAGTATCATCTTGTGTTTTTAACAAGTGTCTATACTATATTAAGTACAGAATTCCAGAATTAAAACTGGAATGATCATTTATTGTATAATTTAATAATTTACAGTTATTTAATGATGGTTATAAAGCTTTTGACTGTTCAACTTTATAGTTTGCTAAATTTGTTAATTTACTGGTAACAGATAAAAAATTCAAAATCCAGAGGGGGAAAAAAAAGCACAGCAGCACACAGCTTCTCATTTTTATGAAACCAAGACACTCAAGGAGCAGACTACAGGCAGTAATAAAGTTTACTTAGCTGTTAAGTAAACTGCTAGCAGACGTCCTTCAACTATGCCTAATTAGAATTAAGTATTGTAAGGCATATGTATGCCATCGAACTAGAAGAAATTTCCTTCACATATATAAACATGTATCAGAATTTCAGCAAGTATATGAACAAATTGACAGCTAAAGTCTTGTTCAGCTCCACAGACAATAACTGAAACAGCCACTAGCGGTAAATGCTGTCCTGATTTTCAAAAGTGTGTTCAGACACACGTTGGAACTTTTTATCTATAAAATAACCCAACTTCACAGAACTTGTTGAGGAAATAGACCAGACAACCGCAAGGTTCCTCTAACTCTTTATAAGATAAAGAAAAGCCGAAGTCAACTGTTCGGTAATTCTGCTGCTGGGGAAGAGGAGTGGAGATGGCGATTTGGTTATCTGACGTGGCTCGACAGACCGCGCCGAAGATCCCACTGCCCAGGTCACCTCAGAAACAGCGTTAGGGGAACAGCGATCGGAGCGGTGGGGAACCCACTCTGCCTCGTCCTCCCGGCGCGATGAGCGGCCGAGGAGCTCCTCCTGGAGCGCCCCGCTGCCCCCGCTGCCCCGCGGGGCCGGGGGGTCCTGTCGCGGGGAAGGAGACGGGGCTCCACCCGCCAGCCCCACCGCAGCCCCCGCACCGCCCCGCACCACCCGTCCCGGCACAGCCCCTGACCGAGGCCACCGCCCACTGCATCGCGCCGCGCCCCGACCGAAGCCGTGGGGCGGGGGAAGGAAAAGTTTCCCGGGGGATGCGAGGACCCCCCCGCCCCCTGCGCCGGGCTTCCATTGGCCGAGCCGCCTACCAGAGCCCGCAGCCACAAAAGGCGTTGCTAAGTGGATGTTTATTTTTTTCACCCCTCTTTTTATTTTTTTCCCTCCCCCCTCTTTTTTTTTTGTGTCTCCCCCCCCTCCCCCCCGCTTCACTACTTCTTCGGTTCACTCGCGCCGCTCCCGCCGCCGCCGCCGCTCCGCCCCGCTCTGCTCCCCGCGGGAGGCAGCGCGGGTCGGGCGCGGAGCCGTCCCGCTCCGGCCATGGCCTAAGCGGGAGGGCGGCCGGGGCAGAAGATGAGTTTCCAGGCGGAGGACGGCGTGGGCAGCCTCTGCCACAAGGCGCTGCAGATCATCTCGGAGCTGTGCCTGGGCGGGCAGGTGGAGCGGGAGAAGTGCGCTGGCATCTTCCCCCTGGAGACGGCCCGACAGGGCATCGGTGGCACAGGTACCGATACACCGGACCCGCCGCCGGGCTCGTCCTGCCGCCGCCGCGGCGCGGACAGGGACGGCGTGGGCGGCCGGAGAGCGCAACTTTTTCCTTTGCTTTCCCTGCGTGCGGAGGGGGCGGAAGGGGGGCAGGCACACAGCCAGCTTTTAAATCCTCTCCCTCTCGCAGCCCGCGGAGGCTCCCGAGAAGCAGCGAGGGAAGCGCCAGGACCGCCGGGGTGTGGGACAGCGCTCCGGGGGGAAACGTGGGGCAGCGGGCGAGGATGCGGGCGTGGGCACAGGGAGCACCGAGAGATGCCGAGGGGAGAGAAATCGCCGCCGGCGTGCGAGCCTCGCCGCCGGTTGGAGCCCCGCCGTCGGAGACGGTCCTATACCCCCGCAGCTCCCTCGTTTGCCCCCTCGCAGCTCCGCTCCGGCAAGGTTTTCCCCGCGGCGGGAGTTTCTCCTTAGGCAAAGCTCGGACCCGGGCTGCTGCGTGTGTTTGCGGGGCCGTGCGAGCGGGGAGCGGAGCAGAGGGGCTGCCTCTGATGTTCTTGTCACGGGTGGGCAGTGGTTCCGTGCGACGGGCGCGCCACGCGTGGGCTGAGCCCGCTCGCCCTCTCTCTTCTCCCCGGCCGTCCTTCTGCGTTTGGAGGGTCGCGCTGGCGGCCCCGGCAACAGGTTGCGCGGCGGGGTGGCGGAGGGAGGACGGGCAGCAGACACGGTTCGGGGCTCAGCCTGGGTTTGGGGCTCAGCCTGGGTTTGGGGCTCAGCCCGGGCTCGGGGCTCAGCCCGGGCTCGGGGCGCAGCTCGCCAGTCCGCGGTTCGCAGTATCCCCATTCCGAGCGGGTTTGAGGTATTTTACACCCTCTCCGCTAATCGCCGAGGGCGGCAGGAGAGCTGTCTGGCGGTCGGTGGGAACCTGTGAAGTCAGGGCAGCACTCTGGTCCAGGACTCATCCAGAAAAATTTGGGGAGGGCGGAAGGAGGGAATTCGGATTAATTCGAGCATTCCGAAGCCAGGAAAATTGTCGGTATAGAAACCAAGATTTTGAACCCTAAAAGTGGTATCTTTGGTCCCTGATTTCTGGATTTCCTGCATCTTTCGGAACTGGCACTGTGCTTTTACATTATCCTGTGCAGTACTCCCCGGACACCTTGCTTTCCTTGGCACTTTTTTTTAGGAGGGGGCTTGAAAATTAGTCGAAGTTCTTTGCTTGATTTCTGCCGGGAGGAGTTGATAATCTCTTCTGTCTGCCCATAAATGCAAATGTACAGCTTGCATTATGGCCAGCAAATGCCAAGTGTACAGTGCAAATTAAATAAATTAACACCAGGTCATGTAAAGCAGCAGGCTCTCAGCATGTGCCCCAGCTGTGCTCTCGCTGCCGCCGCAGCTGATATTTTTATTTTTTTCTTTTCTTCTCTTCTAATACCCACAGCTTTTACCGCAAAACCCCGGGTTATTTGTAGTATCTCAGATCAAAAAACCTGTTTCTGATCCTGCCTGACCCAGCCCGGCCCGACCCAGCGGGTCTCGGTTCGCCTCGGGCCCCCCTTCCCCCGCCGACCCCGCCGCCGGGGCAGGGCAGGCAGGCTCCGGGGGCGTGGGGGTCGCAGCCTGCTTCCTCCAGCACGGGTCATTAGTTTATTGTGCTTTATAAATGCTAAGTACTGAACATGTTCTGATCGATCATGCACTGTGTTAATCGTCATCGTCCAAATAGCAAAAGGTTGAATGAAGATGACAGTACCCTATGGAACCTGGAAACTTGGGCTCCGAAAAGAGTTGATCTGATTTTTAGAGAGTACTGCACAGAGAGTCGGTGTCGTATATTAGATGACATATAAAAACAAAGTTGTTTTATGAACAGGTGGGATATGAAGAATACAAAACATCCCATGAGGTAGACCAAGATCTGCTATTTAGAAAATATAAGTCTTCAACACTTGTTTTGATATTGCATTGTGTACAGTAACAGGAGCTTCTTTTTAAACATTTCTTGAAAGTCAACGATCTTGTTGGTCTTTCATTTGTAAACCCTAACTACCTTGCAATTGTTGAATTAAGAAAAGAAATTATAATTAACAGACCAGGGGCTTGAACAACTAGGTCCCATATCTCAGGTGAATTCCTGAATCTCACTTTTTTCTCCTTAAAAGGAAACCATCATTAGATGATGGCTGTCAGGTTTATTGACATGCACATTATATTGAGCATTGTCTCATTAATAACACTGCTAACGAATGTATATTAATACTTTCTGTCTCCAGAGGGGGAACAGACACACTGTCATTGTTGATAATTGACAATATTTTAATATGTAAACACTTAGATAGACAAGATAGAAATATCACTTGCATCAATTTTATGAACAGAAAATTTCTAAATACAGTTTAGGCTGAGAGAAATGTTGTCATTGAAAGGTGAGCCATGCTGTATCTCTTCTGCTCTTCAACTGCACATAGAGTTCCTTATCATCTCTATGGATAAAGCTAATGTTGTCCAGAGTGTTGAGCATCCATAGTTTCTGTTCATTAAAGGTAGAAATGTTGAGTGTTCTTCATAATTGTTCTGAGAATATAAGTCATAAATATTTGTGTTTGTCTGAATCTGTGCCTCATACATAGGGTGGAAGCATTTGGTGTGAGAATCCATATCATGTAGCCATATCCTTCTTGCCTGAGTAAATTCTCCACAGGTCTGTTGTCATGCAGCTGTAACTGTATGGTAGAGAGCCTCAAGGAATGGCTAATTTAGCCCTATCAGTTTTGCTGTATGTCCCAAATGATGCTGTGGAAAGCACTTTCCCAGTGTATGCCCACACTGGGTGACATGCATCATGGAATCTGTTCAATTGTCTGCTCTCTGGGGCTCCAGCAATAGCAGTGTGTTGGGAATTAGCTCCTGCAACAGGGACTGCAGTGTGTGGAGTAAAAAGCACTGTAGTAAGAAGATAATTGAGTTGTAAGGAGGACTTGTGCAGGGCTAAGAGTTAGACTCGATGATTCTGGTGGGTCCCTTCCAACTCAGCATATTCTGTGATTCTGTGACTTTTGGAATATGTGAGGAAGATAAAAGACTCTGAGATGCTTATTACAGCATAATGGCTTATTGTTATATGTTATTATGTTATAGAATCACAGCTAAACTTTCAACCTTCAATGGAAATCCAAAAAGCAAACAGCCACAGAGACAGTGTAAGGAGGAGAGAAAATAAAAAATAACCAATGGCTATATTGGGATAGCATGTTCTCTCTTTAAATGATGGGTTCATTCTGCTTCCCTCATCTCAAAAAGATACCTAAAAGTGTCACAAAGGTAGCATAGGTAAAAGTCACTACTGAGGTTTCATTGAAAGAAAGAACTCTAAACTTCACTAAGCCTGACAGAGTTCTAGAAGTGTTTGGACAATGCTCTCAGGAACATGGTGTGATTATTGGGGATGTTCTGTGCAGGGACAGAAGTTGGACTTGGTGATCCTTGTGGGTCCCTTCCAACTCAGAATATTCTGTGATTCTGTAAATGAGGACGAGACTCATATTTGGAAAGGAAAGAACAGTGCAAAGAACCTTTCAGAAAATAAAAGAGTAGATGGTAAAAAGGAAAGCAGACTATTTCTATTTAATACAAGAATAAAAACATGTTCTGGAAGTTGAAAATATTTGAAAATGCAGCAAGAACTACATTGATATAGCTATGTTAGTGAGTGTGGTGATTGCTTTCTGTTCAGCTAGACCATGAAAAGCAGCCAGGTTTCTCAAAGGAATCAGCTGCTTGAGGCAGAAGATGCACCACCCAGTCACAGGATCAAAGCAAAATATGAGACAGTATTGACCTCATGACCCAAGCAGTTTCACAGGGAAGCAGAGAGGCTGGGCACTGATTTTTTTGATAGTGTAGGTGTCTAGATAGGAGAAAAAAAGCATGACAAAGATAACAGAATCAAACACAAAGAAGAGGAAACCAGTGACACAGAATAAAAAATGATGAGTACGTCTCTAGGAAGGCAGAGTACAACGAAATGAAGCAACAAAGCAGAAAGGAGAGATATTCATGTTTGCTGTGAACCAGAGAAATAAGAGTTTGTACTTTCTTTGTGAGTAAACAGGATTACATGAAGAAAAGACTGATTATTCAATATGTTTTTTGCTCTCAGTGACAGCACCACGTTAGGACACTCAAATTACTGCTCACTGCTTGGGTCAGGAAGGGATAATCGTATTTACTGTGATGGATAATTAATCTACAAAACTCATAGCAAAGAATCTTAGTGAGATAAATAATTTTGTAAATTTCTAGGAACTTTAGACAATTAGTGAAGATAGACATCTGTTGTTACATTGTCTGCCCTGGTAATTACAATAACTATTCATTCTCATCTCAGGGGAATGCTCAAGTGAAAAGATTAGGAAGCTGTTTATGTTTATGGTATCTTTATATAATTAGATTACTGTGTGAGGTTTCTTCTCAACTTAATACAATTTTTGGCAAAATGCTCGATTACATGTGCAGCTGTTTTGTTTTTATTTTACACCTCCAGAACATTTGGGTAAAATGGTTAAGATGTCAGTAGTAAGAGTTTAGGTGGAAAATAAATGGGAGGTGGATGTGCAAGGTTGCACCCAACATAATTTATATCTGAGCCTAGTAAATTATTTATTTCTATAAGTCTCCAAAATTCGTATATGCAATGTGGTTATGCCTGTATTTTAGCTCAGGATATCTGACTAATAAAGGACTCTAATTCATTTTTTCCTGTTAGGCATACCTCCTCATTTTCAATGGAACCCAGCATATCAAAAGTTCCAGTTGTGAACATTTCTGAAGATTAAGCAAATTACATACAGCATAATGAGAGGAGTTCGGGCATTCTGCTCTAGGGACACATGTTTAAAATTCATTTTATGTCCTCTGCAAATGGTGGTTACTTTCTGCTGTCTTTGCTTTTTTTTAGGCTTGCTGGTCATGCAAAACTTTACTATCTCATTATCAGTTCTCATGGGTGACCAATGTTTA